TGGTACTGCTCATGGCGAGGGAGATCATTGTCGCTGCTGCTTGGTCCTTGTGGTGAAGAAAACGATCGAGCAGTGTTATTGGATACCAGATGTATCGGGTGTTTTTGGTTTTATGAAAGACTGTTTGCGATTACACAGAAACTGAAACCGACGTAGCCGAAACAAACGCCGGCAACGTAATCGTGAGCCGGTGTATTCGAGAGACAACGAGAATGTCACGAACCAAACGTGTCTTAACGTCTTTACGCCGTAAATGCAACGGGTCTGCTAGTCCTACTAAAACTTGGGAGTATCTAAGCTCAATAGGGGATGGAAATGCAAGATGCTGGATTATCATATGTTTTACATTATTCTTTCACTAAATCTTTGTTCATAAAGCCACAACCGTAAGAGCAAGGGAGCTTTAATCAGAAAAGGAGGAAGGGAGATTTTCCCGAATGATTAGACGTTTTGACTTGAATCTCTTGACATTGGGGTCCACAATGTAGCCAAAATCAATCGTATTTCTAGGTTGTTCATGAACCGTGACAGAGACCAGTCAAATTAGCTAGAAGCCACCAGAATCTAACGCAATTACTTGTTTTGTCGTCTAAAAACTTTTGTCTGTGATTTCTTGATACACACGGAACATACTTTCGTAACATATTTGGATTTCCAGAAAGGATTCATCTATGTTTAACAATTGAGATTTTCTTGCATATCTTAACTGACGGTGCCGATGGATCTAATCTTCACTCTTCTCACTCTGCACAATGTTTTTAGGGTGCAAACCAACCTAGTTGGATTGTTAGAATGACGGTGGTATCTCAGCCCATTAAGATTCAAGTCCTGTTGCTCGCATTATTCCTAGATTTATTTTAGTTTTTCCGGCGATGCGCTTTTTGTGGGAGGAGACGTTCCTGTCGACGACAAGGCGCCTACGAGGACTTCGTAAATTTCAAGATAACATTGCCGGCTCAGTCTTTCGAAGATGCTCATAGGGATAGGATGTGCGTGTGTGTATTTATAGGAGTGAGTGTATACGTGTATGTATAAGCGCTTGCGTCTATAAGAAAACAATTTAGATACTCTGCAAAAAAATTCAAAATAACACCGTTCCTCACACGCAGCTGAGCCATGACATCACCGCGCGCGTCAGTTTCGCCATGCACCGCTTTAAAGTCGCAAACACCTCACCAGTCCTGATCAGCTTAGCCGAAGAAGAAACAACAATGGAGTTGGGTAGCTTCCAGCTCTTCTACGTCGCCGCCATCACCTTCCTCACCGTCTTTTTGCTCCACTCCTTCCTCGTCACCAAAAAGCGGCCGCGGCGACGGCTGCCGCCTGGCCCGGCGCTGGCGCTACCGTTCCTTGGCCACCTTCCCTTCCTCAAGCAGCCGCTGCACGCCACTCTCACGCGCCTCGCCGCGCGCCATGGCCCGGTCTTCTCCCTCCGCCTCGGCTCGCGCCCCGCCGTCGTCGTCGCCTCGGCGGAGCTCGCCAGGGAGTGCTTCTCCTCCGAGCTCGACGCCATGCTCGCCAACCGGCCGCGCTTCCCGTCCTTGAAGGAGGTCTCCTTCGACTACAGGGCGCTCACCGTCGCCAGCTACGGCGCTCACTGGCGCGCCGCGCGCCGCGTCGCCGTCGTGCACCTCCTCTCAGCGCGCCGCGTCGACCTCATGTCCGACGCGGTCGTCGCCCGGGAGCTGCGCGCCCTGGTGCGCCGTCTCGCGCGCGTCGCCGCCGGTGGCGCGGCGAGGGTGGAGCTGAAGCGGCGGCTGTTCGACCTCTCCCACAGCGTGCTCATGGAGGCCATCGCGCGGAGCAGGAACACCTACTCCGACGACGGAGCGGACATGTCCCGGGAGGCGCGGGAGATGAAGGACATCGTGGACGCCATCGTGCCGCTCGTCGGTGTCGCCAACCTGTGGGACTACCTTCCGGTGCTGCGCTGGCTCGACTGGCGAGGCGTCAGGCGGCGTCTGGCCGACGCAACGAGCCGGAGGAACGCCTTCATCTATAAGCTCATCGACGGGGAGAGGCAGAAGCGGTTGAACGCTGCTGCGGATGCCGCCGACAAGCAGCAGGAGGAGCAGGAGCAGAGCATGATCGGCGTCATGCTCTCGCTGCAGAAGTCAGAGCCCGAGCTGTACACAGACACTTTCATCGCCGCCCTTGTCGCAGTGAGTCTCTCGCAGCATCCATGCTTCCTTTAATCCATTCAAGCTCTCTTGATCATTTGACACTACTGTAATTTTCTCGTGTTTGGAATTGGATGGAAGAATCTTCTTGGCGCCGGGACGGAGACGACGTCGACGACGACGGAATGGGCGATGGCGCTCCTGCTGAACCACCCGGCGGCGCTAAAGAAGGCACAGGAAGAGATCGACACGCACCTCAGCCTCAGCGGTGAGCCGAGCCGCCTCCTGGACAAGAAGGACCTGCCCCACCTCCCTTACCTCCACTGCATCATCAGCGAGACGCTGCGGCTGTGCCCCGCCGCGCCGCTGCTGCTGCCACACGAGGCCGCCGCCGACTGCAAGCTCCACGGGTACGACGTCGCCGCGGGCACGATCGTGCTCGTCAACGCGTACGCCATCCACCGCGACCCGGCGGCGTGGGGACCGGCGCCGGGGGAGTTCAGGCCGGAGAGGTTCGAGCATGGCAGCGCCGAGGGGAAGTTCATGATACCGTTCGGGATGGGAAGGCGCAAGTGCCCCGGGGAGAGCCTGGCCATGAGGACCATGGGCTTGGTTCTTGGCACGCTGATCCAGTACTTCGACTGGACAAGGGTCGGGAATGAAGAGGTCGACATGGCCGCGAGTTCCGGGACCGTCATGTTCAAGGCCGTCCCTCTGGAAGCTCTCTGCACACTGCGAGCCGGCATGGATACTCTTCTTCAGAAGCTGTAATAAACTTAAAAAATGGTACTGTACTAGAAGGAATAATCGGCACAACGATATAAATGTGGATGTTTACTACGCATTGCATAGCTGTGCTTTCAGGAAGGCCAGCACTGTGCGCCGGTGCGCCGGCCGAAAGTTTCGGCCGGTCCAGCCCAGGCCGTCGGATATGAGTCACGCGGCCGTTGGATCCAGTCAAAAAAAAAACAGATCGCCCCAGCTTCTTCTTCCTCGGGCTGTCGTCCTGGATCCGCATCCCCCTCGAGGAGCACGGCACCGCGCCTCCTGTCCCCTCCGGTGGTCGTCCCCGCCGTCGTCCCCCACCCTCGCCGGTCTTCCTCGTCGCCCGCCGGACCCCGCCCTCGGCGGCCG